TCGTCAGCCCTCCTGAAATCAAGGGGCTTTAACGAGACACAGTGCAGAACGTTAAAATCTCTTGACACTGGTCATGAAGTTATATCTCTTGTACTGTCAATTGGAACGAATTATTGCGTCCGCAATGTCAAACCGTATCGTGTGGTACGTTGTAAAAGCTTGAAAACAGTGACTGCCTGGAACCGCACACACGATTTTCTCATTGTGTGGTCCGTCGAATGTGAAAGACTTTAATAAAGGTAAAATTATTCATTCTGGTCTAGTAAGAATAATGGATGGAATCATTTTGTTTTAGTTAGTTTCCATAAAATTATTGGGATATAATTCAGTCATATTTGGTCTCCTAAACTGTAATTTCATTCAGGCAAGCTCAGATAAAACCTTCTGGGCATGACAAAAAAAATTTCACTTCGGGATATATTTTTATGTCAATGAGTTGTCATTTTATGAATAAGAGCGTAGTCACCGAATTTAATGTAAGCACGGGGCATTCACTAGTAGAAACATGTTAACTTCTTTTGACATAAATTTGCTGTTATGTTGAACTAACATTCCCTGAAATTGAGATCTTAGTACCTTTGCTTTTCAAAAACAGCATTTTAAATTCACGTTTTATGCATGGCACGTATACATGGCTTAAATACTAAAAGTACGATCTACTTGTATATTGCATTATGTACCCATTAGCGAATTTCTTTTCTAAATATATTGACCCATCGATCTACCAAAATAACGCTGTAATGATCTTTTAGATTGCATGAACAGGTAACATGCCAGTTTTTTTCTGAGAAATATTTTTTTTCTGAAAGCAATAAACACGAAAATTTAAGATAATAATGCGGAGACACTTTAGAACATGCATTGCTCTTAAAAGTTAAAAGGACACAGTCAGAAATGAAATTGAAATGTTACTTACCGGAAAAATTATTAAAAACTATTTGTAAAAATCATTATGAAACATTAAATGTCATGTTTCCTACTTGATTAATCACAAAACGTTGAATTTAATATCAGATTTAAGGAAACTAAAATATGAAGAAAATATTATCTCACCTGTTTGCTGACTATGTATGCAATGGTACATGGTCACCTCTAACAAAAGTGCAGGCTTCACATCTTGTTTTCATAAAATTTACTGAACAATTTATCAGGATGTTTCTTTCTTTTTGCTTTTCGTTCTTCTGTTTTACCTTTCTTTTTTTGAAATACCGCTAAAGTAGCTGCTGACTTGAATTTGTCGGCAGATCTTAGGGTCATCTACCATCTACTTAGAACTTAAATATGTTATACAGTTGCATGGAAATATTAATCAATAACAGAATATAGTTGGGCTAATAACACATGATAGCATAAAGAATAGTAGAAAACGACAGATATGTTAAAAATAATGAATGGTAGGAATGTATAACCGTATTTATAAAATATAATTCTGTATGGGCAATATGAATATTCAGACGTTACAGGAGGGGAAACAAAAGCACATAATACTACTTGTTGAGCGATAGAATAGGATGCAGTACAATTCAGAGAAAGAAACGTTTTATAATACTGCTACTATTATATAACATATTATGTCACACAATGTAACTTACAGAGATGAATAACAAAGTGCGCTGTTACTTGAAGATATGTTTAAAGTACCGCACGAACTAATATAGACGTTATACTAAAGACAAAGTACATGTAACATTGAATACACATTATACTATTTACTACGCAAATAACATACAATACAAAGCTCAATAATAATGCAATACACTATAATAAATATACCTCATTATATGATAATGTAACGCTGTACAATACATAATATACAATACATAATACTCCTTTTAGGCAGATAGCCCTCAAGTGCTTTGTCATAATTAAATGAACCAAACCAACTTCTTACCGTCTAGTCTGTCTGCTTTCTGCCATGAGGAAAGTGCTAGAATGCATAACTCTCCAGCGCTTGCAATATTTTATTAATAACAATTATCTTTTGAATAATCGTGAGTATGGTTTTATAAGTGGTATGTCGTTCTATCACGCGCTCAATCACTTCTGCAGCATCATTCAGCGAAATACTAGCGAGAAACTGCATGTGCCATAAATCTCCATTGAATTCAAGGCGCTTTTAACTCGTTGTGGTGGTAAGATGTTTCAAAGTAGGTCCAAAATCTAGACTGCACATAGTCTTATATGACCTCATCTACAGTTAAACTCTAGTCTCAAGTTACAACAGACGGAGACGTCCATCTCCAGTTAATCAGCAGACGATTTTCACAAGCCTCCTGCAGTTTTCCTATAGTGTGAAATTTAGTTTCTAACACAACATTGTCTGTGCATGATAGTGACATAATTGCCCTGGTCACCAGGGATTATTCTTGTAGTTTATATGAAGCGCGAGCTTAAAGGGAGCTAGGAAAAAAACACGCAAAGGAGCAAAAATTGGTTATTTAGCGAAAATTGGTTATAAACAAAAGGTACACTAATCTGCTCTGATAAAAGGCATGAACGCACTTCCTTATGTTTAAAAAGTAAAAATATACAAATTATCAGCCAGATGAAAAACCTGGGCATTTTAATCGATTATATTCTATCATGGATGATTTGTTGAATTAAATACTTCAAAAGCTCTTCTGTTTCATTTTCAGTCATGTTTCAAATTTCTATAAAAGATGCTTCACTCAATATTGCATATTTAACACATTATCAGCCGAAACTTTTTAAGGAAGCTCATAAATAAGAATAAGCGAACTTAATAAAATATAATAACTAAATAAATATATAATTCAGTGTAAACTTCTAAGCCAAAAATCTCGCCTTTGCTTTACCTAAAACGTAATTATAAATTGGGCCAAAGCCAATGGGAACGAATAACACTTCTTTCAGCTACATGTGATAAGGAAATGCATGGAGATAGATTAATAAATTTTGCTCATTCTCTCTCGTTGAAGGACGAGAGGAGGCAAAAGAAAATAAATTCCCTTTGACTGTGTAAAATACATATTTCGTTAATGAACCTGCATCTAGACAGTATACAGGGATAGAACTACAGAAGCTGCAATAGCAATACAGATTGTCTGTATTTATATTTCTAAATAAAATCGATGATTAAATGCCGAGCTGTCTATTTAAAGTAGTTAATAAGGATTTTACTATAAGGCTGAGTTAAATAGTAATTCCTTTTCACATTTTTAAATTTATAGTGTTTTTATTTTATGTGCCGCGTGCATCACATGCCCTGGGATGACGCCCGTGTTTTGTAAACATGGTAACTATTTATTACTTTCCTAATTTTTAACGTGTGTTTTTACGAAGTTTTGTATTCAAGCGATTTCTTCTTAAACTGTAAATGTTCGTTTTCTCCAAAATTCCTTTCTATTGCCCCAAAATTGAGCAGACTTTGATTAAGATGTTTGAAAATATGTAATCAATCCATAATGGTATTCCTTTTATGTATCCTCTACTCAACCACGGGTGACAAACAGTGCCTTTAACTAGAAGATGAGAGCTGGGTGCCCAAAATTGTTTCAAAGTTAACAATTCAAAAAATGTTTCTGCATTAATTAACGTGTCTACGTTACTACCTGTTTCGCAAAACTCAGGATCGAAAGTGTTATGTAATATGCAACTATGAAGCTGAAATATTAACCCCGTTCAAAAGCGTAATATTTGTAATTTTTGAAATCATTAAAAATTCCAGTGTTCGAGAAAAGTCACTCTTACTATTAAATATTTCTACTCATACATCAAATTTGATGTTAATTAAACATCACATATTCCAAAAATCTAGGCGTGATTCTTTTCTTGTTTTAAATTCAGCATCTGAGCACATGTGATTATAAGGAAATGAGACATCGATCATTTATGTAATAAGACAAAATATGCTATTTTCTTCAAAACTATTATTAAAATATACAGTATAGAGGAGAATGTATTTATTCATAACATCTGCAGAGGTATTTACTGTAATGAGAGGACTGTTTACGTTTAATTTTGGTTACGTTTAATTCATTCGTTTATATTCAATTTAGCACAAAATTAAAGTTGAATTTCGTTAAGCATTAAATCTGAAGTTAATATTTATGTCTTCGTTCCAGGAATGTTCTTGACAAGTGTATGTTTAATTTTCGTATTTAATATAAGAGACTCATCCTATTCTGTACTATATATCTTAAATATTTAAACCATAAATAAATGCAAGCCCTTGTTTCTTGCTATTACAACCTGCTGTACAACTTACTTGTTCTTATAAATATGTTGTGCCTTTCAAAAAAAAATGTGATAAGCATTTCATATGAATTTGGATATCTCGTGAAGTGTCTTCGGTAACTTAAGTCAAACGTTAGCATTCTCTGCTGTCTTCTATATGGATCACGCCATATATTAACTGTAGTTTCTAATTCATTCCATTCATTGAGAAAACGTTTAAAGCAAAGCATTCATTTTTATGGGATATATCTATTTTCTTCCATTTGTTCGGAACTTGTGTATAGAATCCTTTCCTAGCAATTCATTAAATTCAGTGACAAAGGAAACAAAATGTTTGCTTATCATAAATACTTTTTTTGGATAGCGTCACATATACAAGAAAGTACAAGCATTTATTGCTTAAGAAGAAGCTTAAACATATGGAATACTTTAAATAGTAAAACAGCTTTTATACAAAAATTATCAGGGAAATCCTTTTGAGACTTCCTTGCAATTTTTAAAATTTTCCACTCATATTTTCTTGGTGTTTTTTTTTTTTTTTTTTTTTTTTTTTTTTTTTTTTTTTTTTTTTTTTTTTGTGACGCTAGAACCATCTTTATAAATGACTTAACACGATGTTCAACTTGTAGTCCCACCAAGGTATGTCTTAAACTCCCTGTGGGCGTTTGTCACAACCGTAACAAATGTCATAAAATGCTACTTACCTCACAAAATGCACTATTTACCTTTTCCCCCAGCCCACACCTCTAGAGATGAATGATGAGATATTTATAAAGCTGTAACACCTTCCAAGTGAGCTCTCAATGAACAGTAAGTGCCGATTACGTCAGATGCATTACAAATGCTTTCTTTTTCCCGTTTCCTTTTTTGTAGCACGCCAAAAAATTCAACAAGTAATCTTAGGAATATAAATTGTTGTTTTTGAAGAGAGATGTCAAGGTTTGTGCTAATGTGAAAAGCAGAATGACAGTGATAATATACTGCTTATTCTTCATAGACGCCTACTATGTCACTTTTGAAATAGTTACACATAACACAATTTCATATCAGATGTCTATTTCTACGTGACCTGAATCAGATAAATTTCGTAAGTTGGTAAATTTTATGCCCAGAAGTGTACATTTTTTTAAAAACTTTAGCGTGTATGAATATGAAATTAGGACAGAATTAAGCAACAGTGCTTCCAAAATTCTTTAAGAGAGTTTCATTTCAAATATAAAGCATATGAAATGCAAAATGTAAAGTAATTTTTTATTGGAAGATTTTGGGATTTTACTGATTTTAAATTTCATTACTTTCATGTCTTTGTGGTTTTGGTTCTAAATTTTTCTTACTATTTTGTCTATAAATGATTTGTTTTTCAGCATCATATTGTTCGGAAATAATATTGGGGTATTTTTGTTCAAAAATCTTTTTGTGATATATATATTTGTACTTAAAAATACTTGTATGCTGAAACTGTTATTGAATTTCTATTGAATGCATGAAACTGTTAATTCTGAAAATATTTTACTTATATCCAATGAATGAAACTGAAATATATTATCGAAAATAGTTTTAAAAATAATGAGCAAAACTAAACCTTGTTAATCAAGCACCACACTGTAAAATAACTCAGTAATATTTTCACCTATCATAAATTTCAAAGACATGAATATAAGTTGTTTTACAGTTGAGAAAATAATCCACAGATAGTTTTATTTAAAACTCTTCAACTTCTTTTGTAAGGTCAGTTCTGTTGCTTAAGTAACTTCGTAAAAAAATTATTTTTGCAATAATGAGCACTGTAAATCATCTTTTGTAAAATTTTTTAAAATCTAGCAGACGAAAATGCTGTTATTTTTGCGTGAGAAATTTGAATCTCTAAAATCCTAATTACTTTTATATTGCTCTATTAATTAAACAGTCGGTGTTCCATGCCTGGGTATTTTTCTTTTCATGTTTAGACGAAGAATTAAGTAAACTTTATTCATGATGTGTTAAAAATCTTTCTTTTCGATAAACACATACATCCGTGTAAATACTGTTTCAAACAGCTTGCGCTGTATAACAAAAATAGCGATTAGTTCAGCATTTTCAAATTGAAGTCACCTCCACAAAAAGACACAGAATTAGTATTCATTATTAAATTAAAAAAATTATACACTTCGAAATATTTTACGCGTAAGAAAATTATTGAAATGAAAAAAAAATCGCGCTCTGAATTTTTATTTTATTACTCGTATTAATAGCCAAATAAATAAAGATCACAATGAATTTTTTTAAATACCAATTTTTATTTCTTTCATACTTGTGTAATATTGAAATAATGAGACACGTTATTTTTAATAATTTTACGTTTATTGTGTGTGAGCGCCTTTTGTTTTAAATGCATATATGATGTATAGTAATTTTTTATTAATAAGGACATTTGAAAATTACGTAAATAGTGAGGAATATTTAGTTATTTAAAAGCCCATTTTCAAAAAATAAAAGGAATTCATTTGTATATAATGTTATAAATAAGTTTTCAAGGAATTTGAAACACTTATATCCCCTAGACAAGTTTGAGCTCCGGTGTTTTAATGGAGCTGTTCTACCTGGTAACTTCGATGTATTTCACTCTACATACGTGTAATTATTATTATTATTATTATTATTATTATTATTACTATTACTATTCCAAATGGTCGGACACCTGCAAATTAATGCATACGTCGGGAATGGTAGCAGTTATCTCATTCGCGAGAAGGATGAGGTGCGACCAAATTACACTTTCCAGAAAGGGGAACTTTTGTTCAAATTTTCATGAAGAACAAACATCCCGGAGGACGTATCCGAGAGTCTGTAACCCTTCTTGCCTTTCCACAATTCGCGAGAGGCCTTTGGTATTTTATGTATTTTGGTAAAGTATTTTATGTGCCGCCATGGAACGAAGACACTATGCATTTATAAACATTCATACGTTTTCCAAGATTCGAACCCGTGCCCAGGTCTAGGTTAATGCACCGAGTTCCTCTACCACCGTTTCCACTAGATGGTTGCTCTACATATGTTTCACTTGAGATTTTAAGTATAACAACTAATTGCAAATAATAAACGTAATAGTATTTTTTAAAAAAAAGCTTTATAAACGTAAATTATTAGTCTAAATTCGGTAATAATGCTTAGCATGTTAATCACAATTTCTACATGACTGTTTTTCAACCATTCATTTAAATATAATCCAACTTCACTTTTGCACATTTCGTAATAAAAGAAGTTACTTACTTGGACACGTTAAGCTCCAAGCCTGCTTTGTCTTCCTTTCCATTCAGACTGCGGTACCCAGTTTCACTAATATGCTGGCGGTCGGCAATCTTTGTAGAATATGATAGAAGATCAATCTGAAACAAGACTATAACCTATTTAAATTGTATTTCGTCAGTCAACAATGCTTGGCGCGGCCTGAACGAAAAGTAAACTATCAGACACCGGTGATGACTGATGCCGGGTCAGAACGGAAAATATAGTCATCCTTGATTGATATGGAGCTTAAACTGTTACTTGTTGTGAACAAGGCATTCTTTTATTTTTACCCGTATGTATATGGAATTGATTTATTCCAATTGAATTTACTTTTAAACATTTCTATTACAGGATTTAAAAAAAAATTCCTTTTTTATTACTATGAGTCAAAATTAATTTATTTCTTAAGAGAAAAATGAATGATATCTGAGATACGTATATACAAATTAATCTTATATATATATAAGATTGATATGCATATATTTGAAATTATACTCTAGATAAATCCATTGCATGGAATGCATAGTTATAGGGCAAATGTTATTGTTATATTATCACTGTTTTTTCTTTGCGTTTTCAAAATTCATTTTAATTTTATTTAGCGCACATAGTCTTTTATTTAATTAAAATGTACATTAACTAAGTATCTTAAAAAAGGAATATAACTCAAAAATTTATGATTGATATTAACTTAGGAATATTAACTGAAATTTCCTTTCATTCAAATGATGTGAATATTTTGTAATTATTTGTTTTAAATTAGTATCTTTGCCTTTCAGCTCCTTTATCAAGTGTGCTATCTCAGCTGCTGGGCCCTCGTAAAGTGGCATTAGTTGGAAGCCTAACAGCTTTTGTTGGCTTGACAATTTCAGCTTTTGCACCAAATCTGGAGTTTCTTTATGTATTCTTCGGAGTTGTTCAAGGCATGTATCTCTTATTAATTTTATTCATTTATAAATGAAAATTACAAATTAAATACTAGTTTTTAATATTTTGTTTACTATGATGAGGGAGAAAAATTAATAATCATTTGTACGTGGTTTATTAAAGTTTTTAAAGATCAATAAATAATCTTTTGATAATAAAATATTAATCCATTATGGTTTTGATTTAGAACTTAAAATATAACTTGATTGGTTGCATACCTCTTTTTGTCTAAAATTTGATATAAATTGGTCAATTCGAATAAATATAAACTGTCTTAAAAGAAAGTTATTCACATTCTTTGTATTATAAGGTATTTATCCCGCCTTCCTAGCGTGCCTTCTTGGTGTAGTGGTTCTGCACACTGGGTCAGTATTCCAGAGGTCCATGGTTCGATTCCCGGCGAAGTCGGCTGCTATTTTTAATCTTGCCTCCTTCCAAAAACATCCTAATGTCTCTACAATACCGCCCGAACTAAAATGGTTGTGGATCCTGACTCTCCACACCCAGGATTTGGCGACTGGGTCCCTTAAAATTCCCAGTCGCCCTTTAAAAGGGGAGTATATAAGGTATTTCTCCCGCCTTCTTAGCGTGCCTTCGTGGTGTAGTGGTTCTGCACACTGAGCTGCTATTCCAGAGGTCCGTGGTTTGATACCCGGGAAAGGCGGCTGCTGTTTTTCATATTGCCTGCTTCCAAAAATATATTAATGTCTCTACAGTATAAAGAAATATTTTTTACAATTTATAGTAAAATCAAACAAAGAACATTTTAAAATTCATGACAGTTTGCAACAAAAAAAAAAAAAAAAAAAAAAATTGTAGACTAAAGATTTAAATTAAATTCTTCTTGAATCATATACTAAAATTCTTACAGAACACATATTTAAAATTTCTTATCATCTTTCTTATCCTCAAAGTGACATCCGTTCTGATTTATTCTAGCTAATATATTTTAAGATGTGAGGATTGTATTTAATCGTTTCAGTACTTTATACCTATCTTGGAAATATTATAATTTAGTTTCTGTAGAAAAGTGGAAATTAACGTGCATGGTAAAGCTTTTCAATCACTCTCAGCATAACGCATCTCTAAAGAGAATAAAAAAGATCCGGTGCTAAGGGTACTCATCACTTTTGCGCAACGCAAAAAGTGAGACTTTTGGCTGCTTTTCGAGTTTTACTAAATCAAATTGTTATGGTCATAGATATATGAAATTATCAGTGTTTCATCTCTATACATAGATTATTATGTTTCTTTCTTTATTTTTTAAGAGAGTGTAAGCATTTGTTTTATATAGAAAAGATAAACTGTATTATCCAAAAATTTAAAATTTGTTCTGAAGCACTGCGCGCAAACTGACAGTAATACAAATTTAGTTACGGTAATAGATTTTTACAATTTTGTGATGAAACATTATTAGGTATAATTCTTCATCTATTTAAATTTTAAAATATCAAAGAATATTAACACCATTAAAAATTTTTAAGTAAAATTATATAAATACTTAAAAAATAATTTTTCAAACAAACAGATAGGTGCATTTTTTAAGCAATATCATCATTTACCTACCCTGAAATTTTTAAATCAATAGCTGTGATAGATTTCTTAAAGAGTACGCACAATTATGAAAATCACCATTTTGAGAAAAATGGTTTCAAAGTGTAAAGTTTCAAAATTTTCAATATATTTTCTCTCAAATAACACTAAAACAGTTTAAAACTGCCCCGCTACATATATCATACCTGTCCGTTCTTCAACAGCTGTTACTGCAACAAGTTTGGCTCTTTTTCTTGCTTTCTACGAGCATTTATCGTAGACATATCTGCCTTTATTTCGGCTGACTGAATACGGCGTTGATTAGTGTCTGCTGCAAACTTGACTGCATTATCACCAATTCGGTATCTAAGCGTATTCATAGTATATAATCTCCCAGCTTGACCATCGTTATATATAATAACTGCCTCATTCACTGCTGTCTTAAGAATATTATAACCACACCCGGAATTTGTAGGACACAATTTCCAAATCAAAGTATACAACGATTCATTTGAATTCTGTGTATGTCCTCCTAAACACTTTTTTAGTAATAATGGCATGCTAAGATCTTTAAATGTATCTTTGATAGCATCCATTACAGGTTGTGGAATTGAATTTATATGTTTGTACGATTTCAGATTTCCACTTGCACTCGCTCTTTCATATAAACACCACGAATACTTCCCTGTCAGACAAAAATTGTGAGTAAGTTCCACGTCGGTAGAACGTTTGTGGTAAAATATTGCCCACACTGCCTTTTGGATATCTTTTACAGAATTGTAACACTTTCTAACAGCATTTCCATAATAAATTGTCAGCTGGTTTATAATATCATCCGTAAGGCCACCTTTTCCACCTGAGAGTTTTACCGTCACTAAGTTCTTCCCCTTCATTTCTTGCTTTCGCTTTCGTTATCCAGTGTCCATTCTCTTTTAAATTTTTGAAATTAAAGCAATCTACGAGTGAACGTTCGTAAGCAGCTTCGCGTACAGATGTAAACTAACGTCAGGTGATGAATTAAATGCCCAATCTGGCAATATTCACCTCAGAATCGTTTTCTGTATTTCATAATTTTTAAGGTTCTAATTTGAATACCATAACGCCGTTTGTTTTAACAAACTCAGAAATACCTACAGTTTCTAAAAATGCAAAAAAAAAAAAAAAAATCGATTTTTTAAAGGGTGTAAAGGTGATGACTCCCCTAAATCCCTCTTGGATAAATCTCTCTAAATCCTTCTTAGTTTACTTAATTGCATTATATTCAGGATTCCGTCTGTAAAATTAAAATATTTAAGAATTAATCTGCTTGTAAAATCTATCACACCAAAGAAACACTAAATTTAAAAAAAAAGGGCCAGCAACTGCTTAATAATTAACGAAACAAAGCAAATAGCTCAGTGATCTATAGTGGCTTATAGTTTATAAATTTTTCTTTAATGTTTATTAAAATAAGTTATTCTGCTACTCATACTACACAACTCTGTAGTTGAAAATCCTTATTTCTTTCAAATTCATTCATAATCACAAATTATTATTTATTAATGCTCGGGGTTATGTAGCTTCGTGCTACGAATATGGATATTCCTCGATATATTTTAAATATATATATCTAAATATCAGTATTTGCGTACAAAATAGTTATAAAGTCATTAGGTTTTTATGAAGCAGGAGATGTGAAATATATGAAATCCCCTCGCCGGAACTCGAACCCTGGACCTCTCGAATACGCGTCGAGTATGCTTCCAGTTATACTACGAAGGCATGCGGAAAGGTGGAAGAGTATACCTTATGCGCTTCCTATTTTAAAGGGCGGCTGGGAATTATGGGACCCAGTCGCCAAGTGCTGGTGGGGACGAATTATTGTCCACCACCTTTGAGTTCGGGCGCCACTTGCTGAGTCTTAGGTTTCATTTAAGCAGATGACGTGAAAAATGTACAGTTCTCTGCATGAAACACGGATCCTGAACCTCTCGAATACGCACCGAATATGCTTCTAATTTCGCCACAAAGGCATGCCGAAATGAGGGAGAAAATATCTTATATAGTTAATAATGAGATCAAACAAACATTTTAGCGTATTATGAATATACCGAACATTTAATATTTTCTTCCATAAACTAGAATAATATACTTATCACACAAACTGTCGAGAAGCGTCAGCATACTTGAGAGTGAACATTTTATCATTCAGTATCTGTAAAAGTATAAACTTAAGTTTTATTCCAAGCATTCTGCTTGTTCTATAATTTAAAGTGAGTGTATTTATAGTATCTGATCGGTATTTATGATTTTGTCTTACTGTAAAATGATTTTTATTTTTATTTCACAGGTATAGCATTGACCTTCACCTTTACTCCTGGAATCATGATGATAGCCAAGTATTTTAATCGACGCAGAGGTCTGGCCAATGGGTTAACAATGTCTGGCAATGCTCTAGGAGGAATCGTTATGCCACTTGTAGCGCATAAACTCATTTCAGAATATGCTTTACGGGGCTGCTTCCTAATTATGGGAAGCTTATTACTGAACTCGTGTGTTGGCATCATGCTCTGGCAACCCGTTGAATGGCATCAGAAAAAGAGCCCTATAGAGGCAATTCCTATTCTTGATGAAAATCCAAAAGAAGCTTTGTCACAAAGTGATTCCCCTGAGGCAGATACTTCCGTTGAAGAAGAGCTCACAGTGACAAACAAGGAAAGTTTACTTAATGAACCTATTCCTTTAGAATCTGGCTTAGATTTGTCTCTCGATAGCTCAGTTGCTGTTAAAATATGTGCACCTGAAATCTTCATAAACAAAAGAGATATTGATATGTATGCGTCGGGCCCTAATTTATATTCAAATGGAAATTGTATTTCTGTTCATAATAAGAGAATACCAAGAGGAGGATCATCTCCGCATTTAGCAGACATGTCAAAATCAAATGATAAAATGTATGGATCTTCGGGAAGCACAGAATCTCTTCCTAATATGTTTAAACTCTCGCCAAGACTCATGAAACATGGTTCTAGAGCTTCATCTTTTATGTATTTAAGCTCTTACAGTTTTGGCCCCACCGCTGGCGCGATTCTGACGAAAGAACATTTTACAGGACTTGATTTTAGTGACTCGAAGCATATGTCTGATGATTCTCAAGAGCTAGAGAAACGTAAAAAGTGTACACTTTTCCCATGTTTAGGGAAACTAGCTCTTGATTTGTCTATTTTTGAAAAGAGTAGGTTTTACATAATGACAGTTTCTTTATTTTTCCATGTGTTAGGTTACCCTGGAACTCAACTTTTTCTGCCATATCATGCTACAACGCTAGGTCTTTCCCAAGCACATGCAGCATCTCTATTATCTGTGATGGCTTTGACTGACCTCATAGGTAGAATAGGCTGTGCATGGATATCTGACTTCCATTTCTGTCCACGAAAGTACTGGTTTATAGGAGGCATGCTCACATCAGGTGTGTTTGCATTTAGCCTGCCATTCTACAGATCTTACTCAACTCTGCTGGCTGGAGCTGCAGGATTTGGATTTTGCTGTGGAGCTTATATAGGTCTCGTTGTAGTTCTATTTGCAGACGCTTACAGCGCTGAAAAAGTAGCTTTGGCCTATAGCATTTCAACAGTCTCTGGAGGCTTCATGGCTCTTGGAGGACCACCTCTCATGGGTAAGTATGAGTGTTATGGCCCATTTCAACTTTTTGTTCAATTTAATTGAAAGCGCATGTTAAAATGTTTGTAACTATACTCATTTTTATCATTAGATCTCTATGACAGGTTATGTGCTTCTTTTAATTCGGAGAGTAAAATTATTCTACAAGGGGTAGGGCTTCGAGGTCAGTTACCCTGGTGTCTGACACCACTGTATTGAGGAGAAACTCATTTTTCCGCGGAATGGGTTTGAGAATATTGAAATTTAGCCGAGACTTTCAGATGACATTCAGATTAGTAAAATCTTGTATTTCTGTTCTTACAAATAGCAATTGTTCAAAATGTTATTTTAATACCAATTCACCGGGTAATTACATTGCACTTACGCCGTATATTTTCACAGAACGGAAGAGCATGCAGATCAAGAGGTAATGATATGCTTGATCTTTATTTTAATATAATTGCATTGTAATTAATAATATGCAATGCCCTATAATTTCAGAAATTGCATTATGATTATTAATATGCATATGATTAGGTTTCTAACATTATTCATTCATTTGATCACTTAAATATGTTATAGCTACAAATCTGAAAGGAGATAAAAACTATTCTAAAAATAAAGCTGAAATATTTTAATACAGGTATCGGCTCATGCTTTCAAACAGACTGGAACGAGGGCCTTTTCGTTCAAGGTTTATTTGGGTTTGCTCAGTGGGCCCAAGTTTCAGAGTCTAAAATTTATTTATCCTATTTCAGCAATCTGTTTTTGAACTTGCAGTTATGTACACTTCTTTAATGATTCTGTATAGTTTTTTCATCCATATATTTCCCTGATGAAATTGTCATTAAATAATATCAAGCTTCATTTCAATTTTAAGTTAATCGCACCAAAGGATTTTCAAACCGTCTGGGGCCATAGCTAATATATACGTATTCCCTGTTCTTATACGTAGTGGTGCATAATTATTCGTTCATCAACAGAAAGAAAATTCCAAAAAAATACTAAATTGATAAATTATTAAGCAGTGTGGAATAATCGCGCTATATTTACACAGAATACGGCTATGTTTACAGACTACGCTATATTTACAGAATATACGTTTATGTTTGATATTCATATGATGCTAGTATGAAATACTTCTCAGATAATCCTTCATGAAAGTATTTCTGCATTTCCCTGCACCCACATAATATGTTGGTTAATTAAAAGAATGTGATTAAGCCTGCCAGAAAGCAATCCAAACTTAAAACAGACGCTTTCGTGGAGGACTGTAAGGAAAACTGTTTTGTTTTTACGTTACTCATGAAACTATGAAAGCTCCGTGCAGGCTTTCCGTTCTCCAAGAACAAGATTTAATTATGGATGTCTGGCAAAGGAGAGGTACTTTTAAGTATAAAAGGATGAATCAGGATTTTTTTAATAGGAACTGACTCCTAATCTCGTTACACATGCAGAAAACTCTGAAAACCTCATGTAGCAGTCCCATTTGTCAAGAACAGAAACAAAGACTAACTATGAGTGTTCCGCGGCTTTAGACTGGTAGGCTGTAAAGAATCAAATCTAAATCTTAAAGTAAAGCATTATTGGCAGACCTTTTGTAGCGAAGATAATTTCATATTTTTAAATGTGAGCTTTTGAGATGAGTAATGTATTCAAAACTTTATTCTTTAAGATTATTCGTGTCTTCTGAGCATTCTTTAGAGTATATTCAATATCATTTCATTCAAATGTCTAGAAATAACTCACAAATGTATGGCATATATCTTTTTTAATAATTACGAGCATTTTATAACAAAATTCGTTACCCTGAGGATTGTACGTTCTCTAATGATGTTTGACTTCTGTTCTGCTTCTGTATAACAAACAGTTGAAAATGGTGGTGATGTTTGTTTCAGATGGTGACGTGAGTTCACATTCTGCTGAACTAAAATGGCTCACCTAATCTCAGTACGAGAGCTGTAGTGAATCATAGCAATGTGGTGAAGTAGATCGTAGATAAATGCATGCGTGGTGCAGCGGAAGGTGAAACACATGATCAAAAGTGAACTGCATGTTTTCTTTAGAAAGAGGAAACTTAAGCAATACAAATTCACAAGCAACTAGTGGCTCTATGTAGTCAGCAAGCTCCTGCGTGAAATTTTGTATTTAACGCGATTAGGAACTTAGAAAGACATAGAAAATGAAAGAAATGAGCAGTGGTAGATCAGAAGTGAGGTGTGCAGTAGCTGAAGGTGCCCAGTTTAATAGTGAAAAATCGAAGAATTAAGATTTCAATGAGGTACAACATGAAATGGGCATTGACAAAGAAACTTTATACACGAATAACTTGAAAGATTGAAGATTTGAAAGATTGAAAGATTGAAGATTTGAAAGATTGAAAGACTGAAGATTTGAAAATGCTTAATATTTATACTCAGTGAGTATACAACAGGCTAACTGAACTGCAGGAACAATAACACGTGATAGAGTACTAGGAGTTGCTACATTGAACTAGGCACGATTCTGTAGGCTGAAAAAGAATCTAACTTAGTGGACAATTAGCCAGCAACAAGGAACTGCAGTAGGCTGTCCATGAGTGGGTCCACAGTATTCCTCAAACTTAAATCTGCTTTACTGCAGTCATACAGTCATCCGAAAACTTCCTGGGAAATTTAAATGCTGCATCCACTTGGATGGTAATTACCTGTAATATTCATGTATGTATTCCGACAATTACCGTATGTTCTGTTTCTTTATTCGTCTCAATCCAAATCATTATTAAACGACGTAGTATTTTATCACGCGATCTAAATAAACTAGCAGATTTTCCGCTTTTTTCTCTTAATATAACTCGATCTTGCTACTCTCAAATGTAGACCCCAAAAGCTTCTATGGGAATTTTCGGATTTCCCGAGCTTCTGAGTTTGAGCTAAAATCAGATAAATTAAGTACTCAAAATTTTACAATAACAGAAAGTGTTTACTTAACATTGCTATTTTATAAGTTATAAACTAAAAAATTATAAAACTATATATCCACCGCTATTTGCGGGAGCAAACTAAAAGGAAAAGCAAAATCTGGATCACTTTTATACAAACTAACTGAAAGAAGATCAATAAAACTTTTCTTTTAACTTAACACCAGTTGCATAGATGTAAGCCAAGCTGTTTAGTCACAAACGTGAAGGACAGTTCAGGCACGCAGTCCCCGGAAATACAAATTTTTAAATATCCTATAGTCATTTTTCATTTTCTGGACAACTTGAAATGAAAGGCAGAAATAATAGAACAGAAACAAATTAAACAAAATGGGTTGAAAAACTAACTCAAAACAGTGATTATAAAAACAGATTTAACAAAATAGTAAACGCTGGCAAATTTAATTACATTATTATTCATAGCTAATTTAATAAATGATTTTTCAAGAAAAATTACTTCATTGTTTAAAACTGTGACTGCAGTCAATTTCATTTTATCCTCCTAGTAATGAACCATGAAATTTTCTCACAGTAATGGTGCAGTTGTAAGATTCCTCAAGAACTTCATTCCAGTGTTCGTAAAATATCGGACAACTTCAGTTTAGATAAAAAAAAACTTGCGAATGAACATGTTAATTATATTTTATCATAAATGATATATATATTATATAATATATATTCATTCAGAGCATATATATATATATGCTCTGAACCTTTCGGTAGTTAATACAGGTTTTTAATTTATTAAATTTATTTGTTTAACAATAATTACTCTGTACTTTTAACAGCGTAAAACAATAAATTTTTATACTAATGCGTCTGCAATTCTTCATATCTTTAACTCGCGTATCCCTGACAAGTTTGTGAAATTCTTGAGAAGAGTAAAGCTCGTTATTTTCCCGACTAATTAGTTCTATTTCTACAGATGTCAATTCATTTGGAAAAAGCCATTTTTCCCTCTGGATTTAGGCGGCCTATTATTTCGTTCTGTTGTACATTTAGAACTCTGTTATCTCATTCTTGCTGTCTGTTTATTTACCTTTATTAACGACTGCTCGATAACTAGATGTCATCTGTGACATCTTTAACATAGAAGTAGAATTAGGTTTCCTTAAAAGGGGAAGCATGTTATCGGTAGTGAATTTTTAATTTAATCATAGAAAAATTATATCTTTAGAGTGAATTAAATTTTAATAACAGTGTCTTCTGCATTGTTATAGTAGGTTACCGCCACTGATTATCATTTAAATTGTGAATCATTTCAATATGCCAAATATATTTGATATGGTATGTGATTTGGTGCTGACATTTCTTCAATAAGAAGTTTCTCCAAAATTTGGCATTTTTATGTTTCAAATAGTAAATGAAAGCGGAGTAATTTAGACCATGGAAGGAATGAGGTCTTTCTGTTATTTAATATTCATTTTGAAGCCGTCTACACTTTTTTAATATACAATGCATTCTTACTTGTAAACTTATTTTTTAAAAGCCAAAGGACAGCCAAGGAAATTATTTAAAACAGTCTTAAAATTAGAAGTTTTCTGATTAGTTGGTTAACGGATTGTAGAGAAGCATGAGAAGGCTAACTGATGTTATTGGCATGCTTTCATGAAGGTTCTAAGAAAATCTGGTTCATAAACTGGTTACAATATTGTGTAAAATACTGTGCAGTTAGCCCGTTCGTAGCGAATCAACTACGGATTAAACTACTAGTAGTCATCGGTGTTATCCACATGGCTCTGCTGCACAAATTTGTATTGAGTGTTAGCAGTATCATACAAAATGTAAAGCAGTCAAGTGAAAAATCCCTTTTTGGATCATGAGAAAAAACCCGAAATTTGTTCGAAGCACAAAAACACTAAATAACTGTGTTCAGTTTTCACCAGAGAACAAAAAAACAAATCATGAAAAGCAGAATACTCAGGCATCTGTGCCTCATTAGACGCTTAGTCATCCAAAAGCAATTATGAATGCAAATAACTGTAGGCGTGTATATTACGGAATGATTTAACAAACTTGTTTCGATTCTGTCATAATACCTGTATTAATGCGTAAAT